ATTGTTTTCCCTTGCAGCATCGTTGTCGTTTTTATGATTTTTCACCTTCACTATAACGTGAATAAATTGAATTAAAATATACAATTAAGTTAATGTGAAACATTCCTTTTAAATAAGGTATACGGTATGTGAAACCTTAATGGCTTCACCGCGTGTATTCGGATGTAGAGTATTATATAAAGTGTTTAACGATCGCGCGTGTACTCGGATAGCGGGATAAAGGCGGATTTGGTCACAAAACAAATGGACTAGTCTTGAGAGCAAAATAGTTCGAACATTTATTCGCCCAGAATTTCAGCTGGTAGGTGAATAGAGTTTGTTTTGCTAAAAATAACTTTTTATTATTTTTAAAATAAAAGCACTAGTATTTTTATGTACACAGATACCTGGCGTTGCTTGCCTCTACATTTCATCAAGTTTGTATATAGAGGCTATGAACAAGCCGAGAAGTGTATATCCCCACACACACACCCACCGAATGTGTTACACATGCGCATATGCGGTGGGTGCGAAATGAAAACTCTGCATTTCTTAATGGAAAATTCTTAACTGGGGTTTATCACTCTTTCTGATATCATGAAACAAACTTCCCAGAAATTACAAGTAAAAAAAAAAAAAAAAGAACGGCGATGTGGTTAGTGTTGGCGCTAAACGTGGCTAAGTAGTTTGGCGTTAGTTAACTAATCTTAATGTAATTTTAAATGATGTGTCTCTTTAAAACATGTAGGAAAAGTACGAAAAGATTGTCGCCGCTGTGGGAATCGAACCCACGTCTTCGGCATTCGCGGCCTGACGCTCTAGCGATCTCTCTCAGTCTCCTCCAGATAACCAGCAATCACCTTAATATTTTATTTAGATATTTAGTCGTTAATGGACGAATTTAGTACCAGTTGATTCATTAGATCCATGCCATCTCCTCCATAAGTATAGCCAAAAATATTTCTGATTACTAGTCTACTAAATTTTATGCAATTTTTAAACATTCAAAGTCCTCCGGTTTAAGTTATGCGTTTTTTTTTTATAACTGAGACGTTTATTATCAATGCTTATTAAAATTTACACACCATGAATTACACAGTCTTTTATATAATTCCCATTATTGCAATTGTATCATAAATTAGTAATATGATTACCTGAATATCTTGGTTCTATTGACTTCATCGTCCACCTTAATGGAATCTTGAACGGCCACCTTTCTGATTTGATGGGCTTTTTATTTTACGCCTTTTCAACACTCCAGTTTCGAGGTGACGTCTTGCGTGACATATCACAGATATCGTTTAGTTGTTGCGGTAAACTTTTTTATGAACATTGTGATGTAACAGAAAGCTCAGAAAAGCTGTCCAATTAGTGAGAATGTCACAGATTAATCTGGTTTTGTCATCTTATTCACAGTCATCTTATTCTCTACAAAGAAGATTATTGTTTGAAGTCTTGTAGTTACACTAGTCGGAGATTGTCATTATTGTTCTATTTAAGAATATGATAATTGGAGCAACTATTAAGACAAAATGGAAAACGACCATAGGCGGTTTATGAGTGTCAAACATTAATCGTGAGCCCACTCAAGAACACCTGTTGGGTAATGATAATACTACATAATTTCTGAATTTTTGTATTAGAAATGGTACGGCGAAGTTTGAATAAAGCATATTTCAGGGTGATATTTTCTTTTTTTGCAAGAAAATTGCACTACTCTTTATAACTTTAGTAGTTCGGGAATCCTTCTATGTGAGAGTTTGCGAATTAAAGATGGAAATATCGAAATGTTCGCTAGAAATAGAATCAACAGATATTAATTTAATGATAGTTTTATTATTTTTCAACAAAGCTGGCCGTTGGTACATTTGCGCCATAATTTTATGATGTATGTGAATGGAGCCCGTAAAATTTATAATTTTAACGGTTTCCTAAATATAACGTATCAGAAGTTTGGCTTGTCTTCGAATATAAAAAGGTTATGATGTCAATGTCTGATTTATACCGACGAAAGATAAATATGAAATATAATAAATATTTATCCAGATATTCACACGAAACGTTATTACGAAATTTATTTTCGCGGCTTAGGTACATTTCGGTTGGAAAGGCCCTTTTATGGGCTATATAGCAGTACCATACATTCGTTGTAATTTTGTAAAACAAGAAAAGATCTGAAAATGGTAAAATTGTAAACTTAAATTTAAAAATTGTTAAATTGGTTAAATTTCATCTTATATTTTAAATAAGTCGTCTTAATTTTAGCCTGGACCATAGCACATGTAGTAAATAAGTGTTTAAAGTTACTTTCACAGTTGAAATATTGTCGGAAAATTAGATTTTGTGCTCTCATTACTTTAATTTTTACGTAGTGTACGTACAACTGGCTAAAGGACTTGAAAGAAAGTATTGAATTACACGTGATCCAACAGCGATTTAGTGAACTACGTATCTTAGCAACATTTTGTTTCTTTTATTCTTAGTTAAGCCATTGTATATTCGTTCGATGTAGGAAAACATTTAGAAATAACAGTAAAAGGTACCTACTATGTCTACAAATGCGCAATGAAGTCCAATAGACTATGCCCCAATACAGAGGGTATTAGAGGGTACAGAGGAATTCTTTGCCCAGTAGTGGGACATAAGTATAATACTTTCGCGTTTCGTCTGGTGAGTGAGGTGGCCGGAGCCCAATTTTCAAAAGGTTGTCAACGCATCTGGAACCCTCGGGTGTAGCAAATGTCCATGGGCGGCGGTATTCACTTAACATCGTAACAAGGTGAACCATCTTCTCGCTTGGCAACTTTTCACATAAGAAAATATGCATATAAAAATCGTTAAGTTACTGCATTATTGAAAACATTTAATACACTCGCGTATAATTTAGTTTTTTAAATTTTTCTATAATTTTTCAAATATAAAATAATATATCAAATTGCACCGACCATCTTCAACTTATTACAGCTTGAACTTGTCCGGACGTCTAGGTAATATTTAGAGGGATCGTCATCTGTCAATTCTTAATACAACCGATGCGATGGCGTAACGCTTAACGGATCTTGCTAATGTTAACACTTTAAAACAATTTACGTTACAGTGATAATGGTGCGGTGTTAATTTTATGAACACTCACCCAATGAACAGGATTAAATGCTCGCTTTATAAATGGGAAACTATTCCGATTCAAGAATTGTACATTGGTGACTTAGTGTAGCTGTTACTTACTTATTTTATTTACTTTATGTGATACAGGCGTCTTAAATAGAATTAAATCATTTAAAAAGGTATGTTACAAAAAATTTCTATGTAAATGTTACTTAGTAATTATTTTTTTTTAACAGTTAAGAGATAAACGCCGCCCATGGACATTCACAACACTCGTAGGGTTGCAGATGCGTTGCCACCTTTTAATAAAGTGGGCCCCGTCCACCTCACTCACTAGACGAAACGCAGAAGTATAACTTCCACTTCAAGCCGATCTTCTGTGAGCTCGTGGTACTACCGTGGTACCGGGATGGATCTGCCCATTCGTGCAGTAGAGAATATTTATGTGTGGCTCTACCACAGTTACAAGTTGTTCATAAGCCGGGACACAGCATATTATTACCAGTAATTAGCCTATATTACATATTTTAGGTGTAAAAGCTCCTTTTAAGCTCTAATGAAAGTAAAAATTAAATTCTAAAGTATTTTTAGTTGCACTTATTTTTACCCTCAATGAATTACGACGTAGTTCGGCTAATTAATTTTTGGTAAGCCGTTTTTTGCCTAAAGTCTTTTTTCGACATTCTAAAGTATTTTTACATACATTTCATATCGCTGACACGATTGTGTTTTCACATATATCTTTAACAAGAGCAGAAGAGAAGAGACATACCTTTTACTGACCAAAATATATGATTTCTAGTTGATTTCGACTTTCTTATATTTATTAACTTGTTGGGAATAATGAACGGTTCGTAATTGAAACAAATCAAAATTTATTGTCAGGTGAAAAACAAGTAAGAGTGAGAAATTTGTCATTTCTTTATCCTTTAATATTCTCTCATTTCAATTAATTTTTATGCAAGGTATGTCAGATTACAAGATAAAGTATATTTTAATTTTCTGTTATTTTTGTATCTCAATCAATCTTGCTTTTTCTTTAATAATTTTATCATGCCTTAAAAAAGTAGTATCAACGTAAGTTTCGATGATTATAAAATATTTAGACCATTTTTTGTAACAATTTCCAATTAAAGTTTCCTTTTTTTTAAGTTATTTTTGTTAGTACTTTTGGAGTTTAATAAAACTTCAGCTAATTAGCTAATCAGTGAAATTTAAAAATATTGAAATCAATCTTTTTTGTGTCAATAAAGGCATGTTCGATATGTATAAAAATAGTTGTTTTTCTAGTCATTTTCAGACAATTATGATAAAATCCTTTTATAAAACAAAAACAATTTAAAAACTTTTAAAAAGTAAAAAATACATTAAAAATATTTTTATGTGTCAATTGTATATATAATATAAGAAATAAATGGGACTATTGCACAATAATACAAGCGTTTCGATTATCACGTTCCTTTTTAATATTTTGTAAAAAGTATCGTGTAAAACTTTGGAAAACAATAGGACAAATGTTACATTAGAAATATATTTTTCTTTTATTAAATTAATATAAACAAATGTATATTTTTAGTATCATATATTTACGATGCTTCTTCAAAATATTGTAATATGAAATTTAGTAAATTTGGTTACTGCGCGCCGTTAACATAGGCAATGGTTTTTATGTTAACTTAAAGTCAATTCAATACATATTTACTATAAATTAATTTTTAAATTAAACTAACTGTAAATTATTTCTTTATAATTTAATACTTACATTGAGTATTCTTCAAAGCAAAAGAAATCTGCCGTCCACATTATTTATGCACTTGGACAAACAATTATAATTTTAATGACTAGATGATATACTGTCGTTTTTACAGAAACTGGCTTGTTAAAAATAGTTTTACGTTTTGCCGTTCACACCACATATGCATTTCCTTAAGGTCATGAACCATCCGATATTTAAATGCGAGCTGAGGATAGGGCCGTCGGCAACAAACTTTCGGTCGCGGCGGGAGAGCGGACGGGAACGGTCTGGCGGCTGCGGTCGCCAGCTTTCAACTAGCCTCGAACTCTCCGCGCTTGAAGTGTCTAGTTCTACGCAGCCACTCTCCTCTGCCCTCGCCAGTGGGAACCGGACGTAGAACTAAAGCACCCCTAATGCACAACTCAGCACCGTAGCGGGAAACCGTTCAGTTCATGTATATCCGTTCCACATCATAAAAGTTGCGTAGAGGACTGTTTGATCATTATTTGGAAGGATCGTTACTGACCCCTGGAACCTTTTTAGAGCTTTCCGCTTAGCCGAAAAACTATTCAGAAAGCGACGCGGATTAATTGCTGTTTCAAAATACGTTTGTATCTGCGCTCGTGTAAGCACGTCTTGCCTTTTTTTATGTAAAACTGGCAAAAAAAGTGATTTTTTGTACACTTATAGCGTGCGACAAAATACTAGGTATGGTTAGATAAAATGTTATTTTATATTCATATCGTTAGTTGATGTTTCATTTAAAATATTAAGTAAGTTTTTTTCTTTGAATACGCTCGTTGTACTTTCCTTCTTTTTATATTTTACTTCCCTGACATCTAATTTAGCTTTAAAGTTCATTTTTTCCATAACCTCGATATACTGTCGTTATTTCTTCTGACAAATGATTAAAACCGGGGTTTTGTCGTTTAAGGACAGTATTAGTATTAAGAGTAGATCAAGTTAGACATTAAAATAAAACTGTCTACCGCTTGCTAAGCTTGTTAAAACATGATATTTTATAGCAAGCAGAGATGATAATAGTAAAAAGATGGGAAAAAAATTGTATGAAAAATGAAGCGTCGAAATGTCATCTTTTCTATAATTTCAGCGAATTGTTTTTAGATGAAAGCAGATATGCCGGCAAAATGTCAAGTCCCGACAATTGAATAGTGATTTCAATTGAAATGTTATTGGATTCTTTAACAAAAGCTTAGTCCCACTCGAGTAGGTATCCCATGAGTATATTCATGAAGTCTTATTCTGAAAACAAAAAGAAAAGTATAATAGGAATATTAGATACAAATACGTGTGTGTAGGTATTAAAATAAACGGATATAATTTATCAGTCTTGGCTTAAGTGAAAACAAATTGCAGTTTATATTGTTCATAAATTGATAACACGGGAAAATGTGTGACATTATATACAGATACATTATACAGTAAATATTTTTTTTTTCGTTTTTGCATAAAATATTCACAGAAAAATTTGCCGACGATTTTGTTGGTCCTATGAATATTGGTAATAATTTATTGCGTAAATCACGAATCCAACCTTTTTACGACTCGATGGTTATTTGGGAAGGTGTATGGAAGGGTGTTATGAAGTTATAATAAATGAATAAAATACAAAATTTCCAGAAAACGAATATTGAAAGTAAAATTGTAATCTTTTAGGTTAGTATTGTTATATAATACAATCTTACAAAACCTTTGTACATAATTACATGGGTCTTTTTATGACATTAAGAGTTACATTTATTATATTAAAAACGGGCCAAGTGCGAGACGGATACACGCACGACGGATTCCATATCATTGTTATCTAAAAAAACGGCTAAAAATTATGTCTATTGTATGGGAGCCCCACTTAAATAATTTTAAAACATTTGTTGTTATACCAGCAACAGAAATACATCATAATAAGGGAAAATTTGAATTTTAACTATCACGACTCAAGAGATATAGCCTGGTGACAGGTGGACTGACAGACAGACAGCGGAGTCCTAGTAATAGGGTCCCGTTTTACCCTTTGGGTATAGAACCCTAAACATCATATCAAGTATTAAGTGAAACTTGTGTGCGATTTTTACATCGCTTAGTTACATTTATTTTTTAAACTGTCAACTTCATAAAATCCTTGCTAAGGAAGGGTTGGTGGTTCTAGACATTCTTATCTATTGTAATACTTCACCGGACTGCTTCCGTTCTTTGATACATTAATTTCAATCCGATCAACGCCATCTGTTTTTGTTTTCTTTTTTCTGTTTTTGACAGGAAAAGCCCAATTAAGATCTCTAGGGTTGGCGATATATTTTTATGAAAGAATTAGTTTCATAAAAATGTTTGGAATGACATGTACGGATAGTGAACCTATCTCTTGCGTCAGAGGTAGGGGTCACGCCAATCTACACTTCTGAAAAAATATTGTGTGATGATTGAGTTATTTATACATATATCTAAAATAGTAATTATTTAAAAAAAGCAAAGTTTTTGTATGTGTTACTAAACACCTCTAGTGCAAGCTTTGCTTAGTTCGGGACTAAATGACGTAAAAATATGTCAGGATTTCTTTTTATGATAACTTAAGAACTTCGATCAATTCAAAGCATTTGGCGTACAAAATAATGTGAACCATTTGATAACGACGACTGAAATAAAATGTCATCAAAACCATTATAAAAATCAAGAAGAGTGTTACAAGTTTGTATTTGACTGTGACAGATTATTATTTATTTGTGCGTTGTGTTATACATTGTTATGTTAAATCACCTGATGACAATGAAAGTATTTTTTTATTGTCACCTTTGGATCGCAATCGCGAGGACATCATTATTATTTGACGAAAAACATTTTGGCTTGTCATAATTTCTTGTCCCTAACGACGTCGTCTAATGCCGATTGTTATCGCTATCCGCTTTGTTTCCGATAAAATATAGCACCTTGTGTATAAATAAAGAATGAAACAATGGTAAGTCGCGAAATTACATACGTCACATGTCCCGTTTGCTAAGTCTGGTTATTGGAAAATAGTATGGTAAATGTTATAGCCGAAGACGTGCGTTCGATTCCCACAGCGGCGACAATCTTTTCGTACTTTTTCTACATATTTTCATGTTTAATCTTAAGTGCAGAGATTAGCACTATGAATAATTTAAATTGTTATAGCACTTATTTGGTTTCCAATGCAGAAATAAGTTTTAAAATTAGATGAAATTTTAGAGAGCTTTACCGATTTTATTACTTCTTTGTTTATAAATCTTTTTGGTCTATTGTTAAATTGAATTTGGCCTATTTGTTTTTCCTTCTTAATGAACTTTTTGATATTAATTCTGAGAAAACTTCACCGATTTCATCTTTTATTTTATTTCGAAAGAGCTGCTTTGGGATTTAACTTTGAAATATTTGGAAAGATAATAATTTTGTAAAACGTTTACAGGAATATCTTACATTACCTTTTGAATTTTACCCGAAAGTGATTTTGATATTTATTTTTTCCGGTAGAGGATATCGAACCCACACTCCTTGACACAAGAGATACATTCGCACTAAGCCAGTCGCCCAAGTCAGCGTAAATGGTAAATTTTAAAAAAACTAAAAAAAGTTGTCTAATAGAGATATACAGTAAAACGCAATGGCTTAGGAGCGGTCACAAACACTTAGGATGAACAATCCGCGTTCATGGTCATGTTTTGTGGAAACCGCGAGCCTCCCGAAGTGAATTAGACAATATGACGGTTTGGTAAAAAAGTCGGTAAGAGTGTGTATATAAATCCCGGTCGTTGTCAGTGACTAGTTCCATTGTAACAAAGAGGTTACTACATAAGTAAAAAAGTAAAGTAAAGTATCAAACTATACATGTCCCACAGCTGGGCAAAGGGGTTGGTTGGTTAGTTGTCAGGGCTTAATAAGTGAAAATAAAATATTATATAAATCATTACACGGTGGTAGGGCCACGCAGCAGCCTCGGCTGTTGCACGAATGGGCAGGCCCATCCGGGTAAGTACCACGACCTTACAGAAGACCAGCGTAAAGTGGAAGTATGACAAATACTTTCGCGTTTCCTCTGGTGATTGAGGTAGCCGGGGCCCAATTTTCAAAAGGCTGTCAACGCATCTGTAACCCTCCGGGTGTGGCAGATGTCTATGGGCTTAAGAATTAGTTAAGTATTCACTTAACATCAGGTGAACCGTCTGCTCGTTTCACAACTTTTCGTATAAAAAAAAATATATAATAATAAACTGAGCACTATCAATCTCGTCAAGATATTTGTGCTGAATTTAGATTTAAATAAAATAAGAACTAATTTAAACGAGTTTCATGATTAGAAAAATAGCTCGTCATAACGTTCGTTATTGTTTCGTTTTTTTTTTTACAACTTCTATGTCAGACAGTATTAAAATATGCCCAAAGATTAAACTAAGTGATTTTAACTACTTGTTACTATTTAATAATTTTACATTCTACAAAAAGGTCCCATTCCTGTGCGTATTTGTGCTCTAGAATATTTAAGAAGAGCTTTGTAATGAGAACCGCAGCAAACCTGCACTTAAACAGTCTTGTATTATTTATTACGTCGGAATTCACGTGTACATTAAAGAAAGTAATTGCTTTATTTTGAAACTTCTGTAGGTGAAACTAATGAGATACAGCTAAGCGCTGTATCGCATACATAGTTTAAGAAAGAAATAATTTAGAAAGTCGCAATGTGTTTCGTTTTTAGGGTTCCGTACCTAAAGGGTAAAACGGGACTATTACTAAGACTCCACTGTCTGCCTGATGAAGCGTGATTAGTAGACAGTTGAAATTTTCAAGGATGGTGTATTTCTGTTGCCGCTATAAGAACAAATAGTAAAAAATAGAATAAAAAATATTTAAGTGGGGCTCCTATACAAAATTATTTTTTCGTCGTTTTTATAGTGGTACGGACCCCTTGGAGCGCGAGTTTGACATGACTTGGCCGGTTTTTTGAATAATTTACAACATAAATGATTATATAATGGTCGTATATATAAACTGAGGTTTTTAAGTTCACTGTTAACATGAGCTGCGAGCCGATTAAGATCATAAATTTTAGTCATATCTTGAAGTTAAACTTAGGTATTAGTTAAACTTATATATCAAGTGGTTAATCGAGTTTGTACTATAACAATACTCTGGAAATGACTCTGAGGCCAACAACTGAAAAAAATGACTAAAGAAACTATAAATTACTATTAAATGTACAATAAAACATGCTTATATTTTGAACCCGTATTGTATTGACCTAATAGACAGCTACTGAGCTCCGAGTGAAAGCGGTAAGGTCCTCCCCGCCACAGGATATTCAATATTGCCAAATACCTTTTGAAGGAATTTGGGCAATAATAGGAAAAAAGAATATTCTGAACGGGA